ACCGCCGCCGCTCGGGGGAGGGGAGTGTGCAGGATCCACCCCGGACGCTCTGGGGGGTGGGAGGGGGAGGGGGCAGGGTGCGCGCGAGCGAAGGACCGAGTGTGCGAGCGTGGGAGCGCGCGATGGGGGGCGGGAGGCGGAGGGAGGAGGCCGGAGCCGGCGGTGGCCGGGGGCGCGCCCTGGGGCACGTGCGCGCGCTCGCTGACACCAACTGAGCCCTTTCGGGCTTGCAGAGGGAGGGAGTGCGGCCGGGCCCGGCCGAGGCGGTGGCTCCCTCGTGCCTCCCCAACCCACCCACCCGCCACGCTTGCGAGCCTCCTGCGGGCAAGTCCAACGGCGGGCAGGGTGACTGTTGTGCGTGGCTCGAGGCCAGCAGCCACAACTACCTGCAAAGTCCGCCCCAACCCCGAGGAAAGAGGAGAGGCGGGGTCCACTACCCACTCAGGATGGGGAGACACGCTCAGGTTCCACGGTGGGAGCAGCCGGGGTGTGGTGGGCGCTGCAGAGCTGGCAGGTTGAGCCGGCGTGCTATTGCCATCCTCCCTAACTACCTGATCTCCACGCAGTCAAAGGCTGGCGGGATCCCACCCACCCCGAGATTCAGCCTTCCCCCGGGACCCGTGCAAAACACGTCACGTTGCAGCGCGAGTTTTAAGAACTGCTCATTTCGTGCCTAGGGGCTCCCCACGGCTGCCCCAGAAGTCCTAATCCTCAGTGATGCGTCGGACTGCATTTAGGACTTCGGGATGGAGGGGGCGGTAATGGGAGGGAAGAAATGGAGGAATTAAGAGCCAGGCCTACTTGGGCACTCTGCAAGATAATTCGCTTTAATGAGTATGTGAGAAGAAATGTGGTCTCCCCCCTTCTGGGTCTTGGTATAATGATTTCCAGGTGAATAAGATTAGCACATCATTGTAGGAGCGTGTCGCTGAATATAGATAGGGGTAATAAAATTGCACTGGTTAATTGGCTTTTCTCTAGAACTGAAAAGAAAATGAAGTTGGTCTGAAATGTGGACGGGTTTGATTTTTAAAAGTTGCAGTTTGTGGAGTGCCCTGATTAAAATCGGCTCCACTTTAATGCAGCGTGGTGGTAAATAGATGTTTTAAATGAGCTACCTTATATTTGCTATAATTTAGACCATTTGGGAATGGATAATTACTAGAGGAACCACATGTTTTTCTTTCTGTGCTGCACATCTACCATAAAACATGGAAGGAATTCAGTGTACCATCACTGTATAAAAATAGAAATTGACCAGAAATGGAGCTTCCAGTTATTTTCTGTAGCTCCATAATAAACATTAGGTAGAAGCAGACTAGCTTGCATTTTCCTCAGTACCTGCCTAGTGCCATAACACTTCATTCTAACAGGCAAAACAAGGATGTCCTTCATCCCAGGGTCTAAATGATGGATGCTTCTGCCAAAGCCTCCCAAGAAGAAGCCAGGCCAAAGAGGACACACCTCAAACGGGAAAGGAAAGACAATTAAGAAAGAAAAAGGCCTTCAAAGGAATTTATGGGACAGGGGTAGAAAACAAAAACAGCAGGAGACAAAAGTCAGACAAAAAGTTATAAATAAAAAATTGAAGGAAAAAATGACATACAGGTATAAGGAAAGATATATATGATACCATGTACCTATACATGTAAATTGCTTCAAAGAAAAAAAAACTTGCAGCTTAAATTAGCACTTTAGAAAAAAGAAAGCCCCCTTCCTAGTTATGAGTTTGAAAGCACTGAGTAAATGTTTAGTCTTCTGTGAATGTTGGTACATAATTAAGAAAAAGGTGGCTGGCTTTGTGCCAACCACAATACATATCTAATTATTACAAATAATTAACAATTATTGATCAGGCAATAAGAAAACTAGGGGAAAAATGTTAATACTGATGGGTAAATACCCATAACTAAACTTAAACTTGAATTTGGCTTTCATAGACATAGAAATGATCCTGTGTTCTTACATCTACAAGTAATTTTCAGAGTTTAGGATAAAGCCAATGAAGTTTTCAAATGGGCTTGGATGAAAGGCTTTGTGGTTCATGGAGCTAAGGAAGCAGTGGTTTAGGATGGCAGGGCTCTGTCTATTCATTCTTAACTGTAGCTGATTATCTGAATCTGGGTGAGTCATTCAAATTCTTTGTTTCTCAATGAGATAAGCTCTAAAATGAGATTTAGTTCTGTTAACCTGCATAGTAAGCAATCAGTAAATTTTTGTTGAATTTACAGTTTGGTAAAGTGAATAATATATGAAATGATTATTAAAAAGGTTCTTATTTAGTTTCATGCCTTTTAATTTTTGTGTGACAGTTACCTTGGTATTTAGTTGTCTTGGTAACATTTCTGTTCCTTTTAATCCATTGACCAGAAAATGTTAAATAATGGCTGTTTACATTAAAAAAAAACCTTTTAAGTGTGCCTACTATTTTTTAAATAGAGCATTTCTTCTTTTTAAACTCTGTATTGTGTATTCCATTTCCTTATGTCATTATGCAGAAAAAAGGTATATGAAGTCCTAATGTATAAAATACAAATGCCCTTAGCAAATAAAAATCAGTAGGAATGCAATACAACTAAAAGTTCCAGGGTCATCACCATATTTCTAAAGAAGTATTATGTAACGATTGTGTTACCATCATTCAAAATTATTTCAGTAGGTAAGCCAAGGAACTCACTTAGATATGCAACAGATAATTGTGGAGATAAGAGACCACCACTAGCAAAAAGAAAACAAATTGACCAGAATTAAGTCTGCTAGTTAATTTCTATAGCTCCATATACTAAAGAGAAGAATTGGTCAGTTTCATCTTGTTATAGTTGTTAAAGAAAGCTAGACAATAAAGCTTATTACTGTAGTAATAGACCCCTTGCAAACAGTAGAATTACGGAAATAGACATAACGTTTATTCGGTAAGTTTTAACAATTTTTTTTTCACTTCAGTAGCATTAAAATCAGTATCATCAAGAAATATGGTGGACCATTTAAGTTAATTTTCCAAGTACCTGGTCACTTTAAAGTGACAAAATTTATTTTAATTTCTTTTGATGGAAATTTATCTAAAATATTACATATTTTCCTACCTTCTTGTACAGAGTATTCCAAAACAATTTAACCTTTTCTTGAGGATGTTATTCAAGTCAGCAAACATTAAGCATCTGATTTGTTCAGTGTTCAATGGTAGACCATAGGAATACTGAAGGCAAAAAATGAAAATAGTCTTTGCCCTCAGTTTGTATGCTACTGGGCAGAAACAATATGAACTCGAATAAATTAAGTGCAAGAACAACCAAAAGAGAAGAGAAAAAACAAGCACTAACAACTAGGGGAATGAGGGAAGCCTTCTATAAGGCAATGATTCAAAGAGACAGAAATAAGGAGGAAAGACATTTCCAAGCTACTTGAAAGAAACTACTTGTGCAAATGCATAAAGAGGAGATGAGGTACAAAGTTAGAGAAATGTCTACTAGTCCAGTTTGGTTGAAATGCAGACTTCATGTAGCAGTTTGGTATGAAAATAATCTGAAGGATTACCTTTTAGAGTTTATCTCTAATTCATGTCAGAGAGAGATTGTGGAGAGCTCTGAATGCCAAGGTAAAGAGTTTGTATTTCATCCTAGAGGCAATGGAGTACCAGTGAAGGCTTTTTAAGCAAAAGAGAGATGCATTCAGATTTTTATCAGAGGAAAGAAACTGGAAGGAAGGAATCCAATTTGAAGGCTATTGGAACAGTAAAGGTTAAAAAAAAAAGAGGGCCTGAAGCTATGGCTGTTGGGTAGAAAGGAAGAAATAGACAGCTGTGAGAGATGTTTTGGAGGTAAAATTGATAAGACTTGGATGTGGATAGTGAAGGAAAAGTCAACGTTGATGTCCATGTTGAAAACTTGAGTGATGAGAAGAGTGTCTTCTCAACAGAGAAAGGAAAGTTGGGAAAGCAGCAAGATGAGTTCCATTTTGGACATGCAGAGTTTGAGCTCCATAAGGGGAAGAGACCTCCAGCATGCAGTTTAATGGTGTTTGAGTAAAGTTCAAGAGCAAGGCTGGGACTGTGTGCGTAACTCTGGGAGTCATCTGAATAGAAATGATACTTGAATCCATGGGATGTATTGAGCTTTCCCGGAGAGAAAAGTCGGTCCAAAACCAAATCTTGGGAAATACCTACCTTAAGAAGCTAGAAAAGGGATGGTGATCGAGCAAGGAAAATAAGAAAGAACAGTCTGGGTGCAGTTAGGTAGTACAGTGGATAGAGCACTGGCCCTGGAGACAGGAGGACCTGAGTTCAAATCCAGCCTCAGTCACTTTACACTTACTAGCTGTGTGACTCTGGCAAGTCACTTAACCCCATTGCCTAGCGCAAAAAAAAAAAAAGAAAGAAAAAAGAGAGTAAGAAAGAACAATCAGACAGGTAGGAAGCCACCAGGACAGCAGTGTCAGAGAAGCCAAGGGAGAGAGTATATGGAAGGACAGAGTAGTCAGCAGAATCAGAATGTACAGTGAGGTCTAAAAGGATGAGGAATGAAAAAAGCTATTGAAATTAGCATTTAAGAGAAATTGTTAATAACTTCAGACCAGTTTCTGTAAAATGATGGGTTAGGAATGGTAATGGTGATATCTAGCATCTATAGAGCACTTGAAGGTTTACACGAGTTTTACAAATATCTCATTGGTTCTTACAGCAGCCCTGGAAGGTAAGTTCTATTATTGGCCCCATTTTACAGATGAGTAAGGGCAACTATGTGACACAGTGGATATAGCACCAGACCTGGAGTCAGGAAGACTCATCTTCACGAGTTCAAATCTGGCCTCAGACACTTACTAGCTGTGACCCTGGGCAAGTCCTGTATGCTTCATCTATAAAATGGGCTGGAGAAGGAAATGGCTAACCACTCATATCTTTGCCAAGAAAACCTCAAATGGGGTCATGAAGAGCCACGAAGGGGTCAGACAGGACTGAAATGACTAAACCAAAACAGATGGGGGAACTTAGAGGTCAAGTGACTTGCTCAAGGTCATACACTTAGTTAAGTATCTGCGACCAGATTTGAATTCAAGTCTCCCTGACTCCGGATCCAGCGCTTTGTGCACTGTACCAACTAGGAATCCAAATTGCAAGGGATTTAGAAATAAGTGGGTGATTAGAAAGTGGAGGCAGCAAGTACAGAAGATGGGGAAGAGATAATGGGGACTTTAACAGTGACCACAGCATAAAATAGTAGAATGGTCACTGGTTTTGGAATCACGGGGCTTGCATTCAAATCCTAATTTCTGTTAGCTTTTGCCTATGTGATCTTGGAGAATTCACTTAACCATTCTGAGCCTCAGTTTCCTCACCTATAAAATAAGGAGGTTGAGCTGGGTGGTCTCTTAAGGTTCCTTCTATAGTTCTAGATACTATAATCACTATGAAAACCAACCCTTCTAGAGCTAGTGAGATACAATCCGTTTTTGCTTCTACATTAAATGTCCCCAGATTACTGTGCTTTTTGAAGTTTTTGTATCTAGTTTGTAAAATAGTTTTTCTGTGTTCCTTCTTTTCAGTTCTTCTCCTTTGCTGCAGTACATCTGCCTTTAGCAACAGCTGCCCCTCCTGGCCTCCTTAATATGGGTTTCTCATCTGCCTTAGCCTGGGAAATCTCATGAGCAAACACGTTCAATTGATGCCTATGAGTAAGTCCGTTCTGAGTGAGGGCCTGAGAAACTAGGCTGTGACTTAAATATGCTTTAGTGTTTTCATTTTCTTAACATCTTTTTGGTTGTTTGGAGGTCTTTTTTGTCTTGCTTACTTCCTTGTTATCTGCTGTTGATTTTTCCACAAAAGGAACATGTGAATAACCAAGGTATTGTTGTAGTCTGTATTCTTTTTTAGTCATTTCTGCAAAATTAGAATCTTTGTCAATGTTTTTGCAATAATTATTTTGAAAATGGAAATTTTTTAAAAATTTGTTATCATATATATTATCATACAAATTATTATTCTACATAACCGTCATGGCAAAAAGCAAGATTAAACATTCAAAAGGGAACTTGAATTAAAGATAAACTCTAAAAGGTAATCTCCACGGATCTTGGATGACTTTACATCTAATTCTTCCCCATGTTCATTGTCTCTGATTTCTCTCCTTGCCTATCGACTTGCTCCTTGAAATACTTGAACCAGAACATGGAAGTTAATGAGGATAAAATGACTTGCATTATCTTACAGGGTTGTTTAGGAAAAAGAATGTTGTAAACCCTAAGTACTGCATAAATGTAAGCTACTATTATCATATCTATGTCCAGGAAAATAGTCAGGTCATTGATTTCTTTCTTCAGCATATCTCTTATGATCATTCCTTCCTTTTCATTCCTACAACCAGACTCCCAATTCACCATCTCAATTGCCTAGAGTATAGCAATAACCTGAAAACACCTCTCTGCTTCTCCAGTTAATATAAAAAATACATTTAGCACATTAATAACAGAACAATTATGAGGGTCTACAAATATTGAACATAAAAATATTCTTTCCTGCCTTATTTTGCATTTGTAAAAATGTATTCAAGAGCAAGAGTACTTTCAAGAAGCTGAAAACATCTAAAAATCATTATGTCAGTAGGAGGAATTAAATGGAAAAAATGGCATCAGCTCCTGTTCCTCATCTTGCCCATTCAAGCACATTAAAAGTGTATTGCAGAAGATAATGTTCTGCTAAGAGTATTATGCAATAATAAAATTGTGTATATCATATTATAGATGGGAAAGCCCTCCTGCTCAATTACTGAATCCATTTCTCTGCAGGAAAGCAATACTCTCTATTGGCTTTATCATTCAAAGAGGAATATTTATAATCCTAGAAATTAGTGAGACTAAGCATTTTCAAGCCCTCTTGTTAGCAATACTAAAGCCACATTCAAGTATTAATTAATTTCCTCAGAGAAAGGCTAGCTCCTCATTCTTAGCCATTTCGTTACATCTGATATTAAATTGAAAGCTATTTTATCCCAGGGTCATGGATCTAGAAATGGAAGGGACTTTAGAGGTTACCCTATCACTTGAAGTGTTCAACTTATAAAAACAGAAGTCATAATAAAAATTAGTTACCAATTGATGAGAAATTAGAACTCACTGAAAATATGACAACAATAATAAACTAAGATTTCTGTAAGCAGGTCATCTGTTTTTAAAACATTTATTACTGATTACTGTTATGAACCTAAAAGAAAACTTTTAGAGAAACACAGGTTTAAATACCATTTTCTTGTCATTATTATGCTGCACCATCAAAATGGATTTAGAAATAAGTTCTTGAATCTATAAAATAAAAATAATTTTATACTAGACACTTAAACATATATATTAGTCATTACTTCACATCATATTTAAGGGTGAGGTGGGGGGGGTAAAGGATGAAGACCTGGGAACTCTATGTGTTTAGGGAACTCCAGGTGTGAAAACTCCCTATACCAATGTATGTAACTTCTAATCTTAGGTGCCTGCAGCTACTGTGTGCTGGAGGTCGGACTTAAATTCAGGTCTTTGTAACTCCAGAGTAGACCTTCTTTGCACTTTATTCAGAATAAAAAAATTGTCAAGCTAATTAATTTCTCATATCTAATTTTCATCTCTCACAGGCACTATTTTTACCAGTTTCCCAGATGCACTCTCTCCCTACTGCAATCCATCCAATGTTCCTACAAGATTCCAGCGTAATCATCCTACTGCACAGATGTGATCATGTCACCTAACTTCCAAAAAATCCATCTGTGGCTCCCTATTGCCTACTGAAGGGCTTTCGTGTGAAATCAGTTAATCAACAAGCATTTATTAAGTGCTTACTGTGTAACAGGCAGTGTGATAGGTATTGGGGATTCAAAGACAAAACACAGCCTTGGCTCTGAAGGAACTTGTATTCTATAAAGAGAAACAAACTATGTAAATGTAAGTAGATATAAAATATATACAAGATAAATACTAGGTCATTGGGGAGGATTGGTGGGATAAAAGTTGGCATTAACGGCTGGGGTAATCAAAAAAAAGTCTCATTTCAAGGTGGTGCTTGAGTTGAGTTTTAAAGGAGGCTGGGGATTCCAGGAGGCAGAGATGAGGAGGAGGACATTCTAGGTATGAAGAACAAAGAGAAAGCTAGTCTGGCTGGACCAAAAAGTTCATGAAGGGGAACAATGTTATAATGAGTCAGGAAAGGTAGACTGGAGCCAGATTGTAAAGGGTTTTAAGTGACAAAAAGAAGAGTTTTTATTTGATCATAGAGGCAACAGGGAAACTGGAGCTTCTTCGAAAAAAGAGTGACAGTCTGACCTGTGCTTTAGGAAAATCACTTTGGCAGCTGTATGCAGGATAGATAGGAAAGATAAGAGACCTGAAAGGCAAAGAGAGAAAGTAGGAGACTTTCACAATAGTCCATGTAAGAGCTATGGATAGTGTGACCCAGGTGTTGGCTCTGTGACTCTCTCCCTAAGCGTGCCACTCCTCTTGATTTCCCTGTTTCTGTTGAGGACATCACCATCCTTTTAGGATCATGGTATCACAAATTTAAAGCTAAAAGGAACCTTAGATAAAATATAATCCAACCTCTTCATTTTATAAATTTTAAAACCAAGGCCTGGAAATGTTAAATGATTTGCCCCAAGGCACACAAGGGTGTAGATGAAATTTCCTGTACACAATTACAACTTTAGTGTCATCCTCAACTCTTTGGCCTTCCTCACCTCCAATGTCAAGTCAAGAGACAAGTCTCATTGACTTTATCTCCATGGCATCTTTCATTCCCTTCTCTCTGCTCAACAAGTACCCCGGTATAGCAACCTTTTATCCCTTTTTGCCTAGACTATTGCCTCCTAAATGGTCTCCCTGTTGATACATGAGAAAATATTATGAAAAAAAATTATTCAATGTAATTAAATGGTCCTATATCTATAAAAACATACTGACAAAGAGAAAATTAACAAAGTGAGTGAGAGGCATCATGGTAGAGTGGATGGAGTCCTGGATTTAGAAGACCTGTATTCAGATTCAGTTTATGACACCAGCTATGTGACCATAGGCAAGTTATGTAATTTCTCAACCTCAGGAAACTCCCTTCGACTTATCTAATAAGTAGGACACAGGTTGTGTTGGTAGAGGGAGTTCCTACATTGATAAAATCATAAATCCTTAGTGTATTGATGGATGTATAATAAATTGAGTATGATATTTTAAAAAAATTAAAAATTAAAGTAAAAAATGTTGATAACTAAAGAAGTAAATAAAATTAAATATCGTTGAACTGATGAGACAAAATTGAGAAATTGTTAGTGAATGTTACAAAAAAACAAATGAAAATGGAAAATGTCAATTTATAATACAAAAAAGGAAAAAATATCAGAAAGTACTATGCAATTATAAGCCTATAAAAGTGAGAATTTAATGAAAATAAACATTTACAAAAATATAGAATGTATCAAAATGGGAAAAAGGAATATTATGCAACCTTATATCAGAAAAGACATAAAGCAATCCATAAACAGACTACTAAAAAAAAAATTCATCAGATTGATTTATAAGTATATCATATCAAAAATTTAAAGTGCAAGTTATTACCTGTGCTATTCAAATTGCTCTCAGTGACCATGAGAGAAATACACTATTGAAATCCTCTTATGACTCAAATGTGATTCTGATACCCAAACTAGTAAGCAAGAAAGCAGAGAAAGATAATAAAAGATAACTATTGCTAATTAAAATGAATGCAAATAAATAAAATTTTAGCCAACACATTAAAACTATATCAAAAATCATTATTTGCAAGTTTGTTTTATACCAAGGATAATTCAACATTAGATAAATAATTAGCGTAGTTATATAAAAATGGCCAAAACTATGCAATTTTATTATCAAACACAGGAAAAGCCTCTGAGACAGCACAGCACTCTAAGATCAAAAAAGCATAATGAGGTAAGGATCCTTCTTTAATATGACCAAAAATGTATTCTTTTGAAACCCAAAGGCCATTACTTGCAACAATGAAACATTAGAAACTTTCTCAATAGGTAGTAAACCAAGGGTGTCCCTTCCTTTTTGCCACTAATTTTGGTATCATCCTAGACATGCTAATAATGGTAATAATACAAGAAAAATAAAGGCAAAGAGAAGAAAAATACCTATGTCCCAATAAGAAGATAGTTTTCTTAGGAAAAACCCTTGAGAATTAGTCAAGAAATTAATCAGAATCAATAGTTTCATAGAGTAGCAGGTTACAAAATCATAAAAATCATCATATTACTAAAAAAAAATAGGAGTAAACAAATTTCATTCAAAATTTCTCCAAAATGCATTTTCTACTGGGACATAGACATTCATCACCTGCAGTCCTTGTGAGATGGAGGACTACCAGGCTTTGCCATTTACCCTATCATCTCCAGCCCCCCAGGCACTGCCATTTATCCTTCTAATGCTCCCTAAGACCTCCCCAGTACTTGCAATCCACCCCACAGTTACTTCTATAAAATATCTGGCCCTTCCTTTCTATTGGCCCTGCAGGTGAATTCTCTTGAATGTGTTGACTCCTTCTACTGAAGTGTGAATTCCTTGAGAGCAGGGAATGTCTTGATTTTTCTCTTTGAATCCCCAGCTTTTAGCACATTGCTTGGCACATTAAGTAAGTGCTTAATAAACAAGTTTTTAAAGGAACAATAATATGGATGAAGAATTCAGAGAACTATAGGAAGACATTTATGAACTGATGCAAAGTGAAGAAGATACAAGAGAAGTATGGGCTAAATGGCTCTAATAACAAAGAGAGAACGCTAAAAAAAATTCAGATAAAATGTAATGGCCAATGTTGATGCTAGGTGGATGGTATTGGAACACACTTCTTTCTTTTCTCTGTAAAGAGGTGGTAGATGGCATGTGGAATGTTATATTATCAGGAGTGATTGTTATATTGGATAGTTTTGCCCAACTGTTGTTGTTTCTGTTTTGTTTTTATAAGAGTAAGGAGGTTTATTGGGAAGTAAAGACTGGAGGTCTTCCTTGCTATTTCCTGATATTCTGAGGATAACAAGGGAGTATGAGGGGTATGGTGACCATTGTTTTCCAATTCTCTTAACACATTCAACTTTCTGATTCTCATTTATAATTCCCTGTGTATCATATGATGGAGCCTATACATTGATTAAGCACCTGGTATGTGCCAGGCATTGTGCTAAGCAATGGGGATACAAAAAGAGGCAAAAGAAACCCAGCCCCTTGCCCTCAAGGAGCTTACAATTTAATGGAGAGACAATATGCAGATAATATATACAAAGTAAACCATATACAGGAAAAATAGGAAATATTTAAGAGAGGGAAGGGCCTAGAATAGAGGCTTTGGGAAGGGCTTCCAATAAAAGATGGGACTTTAACTGAGATTTAAAGGAAGCCAGGGAAGTCATTAGTTGTAGCAGAGAAGGGAGAGTGTTTCAGGCAGGGAGGTACAGTCAAAGAAAATGCCCAAAGCCTAAAGATTAAGTGTCTTCTTCATGAAACAGCCAGAAAGCCAATGTCACTGGATTGGAGGGTATGTATCAGAGAGAAAGGTGTAAGAAGATTGGAAAGGTTAGAGGGGGCTATATTATGAGGGTCTTTGAATGCCAACCAGAGTATTTTTATTCGATCCTAGAGGTGATAGGGAGGTGCTCAAATTTATTGAGTAGGGGAGTGACTGTTTAGGAAAATCACTTCAGTGGCTGAATGGAAAATGAATCAGAGGCAGATCCACCAGCAGGCTATTACAATAGTCCAGGTGTGAGGTGATGAGAGCCTGCCTGAGAATGGTGGCCTTGTCAGAGGGAAGAAGGGGATATATTTGAGAGTTGTTGCAAAGGCAAAATCGACAGGCCTTGGCAACAGCATTGTTATGGGTGGGGGTGGGGGGAAAGAGAGAGAGATAGTGAGGAATCCAGGATGACTCCTAGGTAGTAAGCCTAAGGAACTGGAAGAATAGTGTTGCCCTCTACCATAATAGGAAAGGTTCGGAGGGAACTTAAGGGGAAAGAAAATGGGTTCCATTTTGGACATACTGAGTTTAAAATGTCTACAAGACATCCATTTCAAGATGTCTGAAAGGTAGTTGGAGATGTGAGGTTAGAGGTCCAGAGAGCATTTGGGACAAAAAAAAGGTAGATTTGAGAACCATCGGCATAGAGACAGTAATAATCGGAGTTGATGAAATCACTAAGTGAGGTAGCATAGAGGGAGAAGACAAGTGGGCCCCTAACTGAACCTTTACATCGGTGATAATTTTCAGTTCTTTTTAGACTATACTATTCAATGTCTTGCAGCCATTTTATACCACCAAAACAATATTGGTATTTAAATGGATAATTTTTATTATATTAAATTTAAAAGGTTTTGTACAAATGAAACAAATGTAGCCAACATCAGAAGGAAAGCAGAAATTTGGGGGAAAATTTTATAGATGGATTCTCAGATAAAGGTCTCCTGTCTCAAATATCTAATGAGCTTTGTCAAATCTGTAAAAATATGAGTCATTCCCCAATTGATAAATGGTCAAAGGATATGAACAGGCAGTTTTCTGATGAAGAAATCAAAACAATTTATAGTCATACAAAATGCTCCAAATGATTATTGATTAGAGAAATGCAAATTAAAACAACCTTGAGATATCCTTTTACACCTATCATAGGCTAAGCTGTGGAAAAATCGGGATAGTAATTCACTGTCTGTGGAACTGTGAACTGATCCAACTACTCTGGAGAGCATTTTGGAATTATGCCCAAAGATTTATTAAACTGCCTGTACCCTTTGACCCAGCAATACCACTACCAGGTTTGTTTCACAAGATGGTTAGGGAAAAAGGAAAAGAACCTGTATATTCTAAGATGTTCATAGTAGCTCTCTTTGTAGTGGCAAAAAACTGGAAATTATGACCATGCCCATCAATTGAGGAATGACTAAACAAGTTATGGTATATGATTGTGATGGAATACTACTGCTATAAGAAATTTTGAGCTCAGTGATCTCAGAAGAACATAATAGACTAGCATGAAATAACAAAGAGTGAAATGAGCAGAACCAAGAGAATGTTGTAGACAGTAACAACAGTCTTATTTTAAGAACACCTTTGAGTGACTAAGTCATTTTGACTATTACAAATACCTAAATTAACTACAAAGAACATATGAAGGACATATGCATTCAGAGAAAGAAATGATAAATAGAAGTGTGTATAGAATGGTTTTACATATACATATATATAGATATATAGATATAGATACACACACATACACATGCACATGTGTTTGTGTTTAATGGTAGCCATCTCTAGGGCATGGGTGGGGGTAGAGAGGGAAGAAAAAAAGGAAAAAAAGAGAAAGGGTTTTTTTAAAGTGATAGCACTATGTTAAAAAAAAAAAAAGAGATGGGCCTCTGTTTCAGGGTCAAGTTTGGGGTCATTAAAATAACTTGGCAATTTCCCTAAAGCAATCCATCCTGCTCTTCTTCAATAAGATCATAAAGATTAAAATGTTAAAAAAAAAAGTTAAAGCAAAAGTAAAGTGCAGTTAATATTTGTAATATTCAATTTATAAGATCACTATTTGTACAATTCCATTTATAATATCATAAAATCATAGATTAAGAGCTAGAAGGGACCTAACAGGTAAAAACTAACCCCCTCATTTTATAGATGAGTAACCTGAGACCATTTCATTTTGCATTCTGGCCCTATCTTCCCTGAAATATTTAAGGGAATGAATTAGACACCCTACTCACAACTTGGTGATATCAACAAAATTAATAAGCATGCCATCAGTTTCATGGTTGAAGGCTTAGATGAAAATGTTAAACAACACTGAACCTAGGGCTGATGCAGAAGGGTAGAAAGGTTGTTGATTAAACGATATTTTCAGTAACTGCCAGCCAGATTGTTACTAGCCCTTGGTGAGTCATGGTGATTTCTTTGGGCCCACACTTTGCCCATTCCCTACCTTGAGCAATGACTCAGGAAAATTGACAGTGAGGAAAAAGGTTGCTCTGCCAGTAGAAGTTAGAAAAGATCCGAGATGTGTATATATACCACCAACACTGCCCTTCCTCCTCCATCAAACCCAAAAGCACTTTGTCCTTCCAGATTCATCTCTGCTAATGCTACAGCGGACTAGGGAGGGATATGTTATATTTGATCTAGTCCAGAGAAGCCCTAATCACCTCTCTAGAAAATCCCTGTTTGCACTCTCAGGTACATACCTTCCTTATTCACAACTACCAATTCAAGGTACCACTTGCTCTAGTCATGTTTCAAATGAGATGTGAACATTGTTGAATAAAAAGAATGAATTAAAAAAAAATTAGTGTCTGTTACATGCCAAGCACTGTCCTAAGACCTAGGGAATAAAAACAGAAAAAGCAAGATGTAGCCATTCCTCAAGAAGCTTACATTCTAATAAGGGATAACAGCTCACATAAGGTAGTAAATATGCCAGGGAGGGGTGCTTGGTCAGGGAAGTCACAAGAAATTGTGAGTAGAATCATTGAGCAATTGACTGACACATCTTTTCATATCAAATGTTGATTTGATTATTTTTCCCAGAGCTAGTTGGGAGTGGTTTGACTGGGGTAGGGAGCAATAATGTGTCTAAAGTCTAGAAATGTATAGTCAGTAGAAAAAGTCTACAAGCTGACAGTTTAAAAAAAAAAGGTATCTAAACAATTAGGATAAGCATAAGAGGAAAAGTTTAGGAAAAGAGAATTCCCAGATAAGGGAAGGATGTATCCACTATAGATGGCAATAGATTCCTACTGGAAATTGACCTTACCCAAAAAACTCAACCAGTAATATGATTTGGGACCATCCCACTAATGAGATAAGATGGCTTCCTGAATGTCATCAGGAAGTAGCCAGTCTTAAGGTGTAATCAATATAAAATGAATTGTAAGCTTGGACATTGTAACATGCCATGGAAGTATGTCTAAATGAAGAAGGAAAATATAAGGACAAGAGTTAACAGAAGGGTCATTCTGGATTCTAGAAAGAAAAAAAAATAGCATTGCAAAGTAAGAATTTTTCAATATTTCTGTAGCACTGGACAAGGAAAAAAGTGCTCTGGTTTCTAGAAAACTAGCCATCATTGCTTAAACAGAAGTCTCTCTACAATGTGGGATGATACTTTGAGCAGATGACCAGTTCTGTTGTCTGAGCCAGTTCCATCTCTCCAAGTCACACATTTTCATTCTGATTTGCAAATCGGTCTCTTGTTAACTTGAGAACGCCCTGATCACTTCTAATAGGATTGATAAAATTTAATTCCTGAATCTGCAGTGCAGGATAACACAGCTCCCAGACCCAGGGTGACCCCACAAAAGTGTAGTATTCTATTAGACCTAGCCAGAGACATCCAGGCTTCCCTTATATTTATTTTATTATTATTAGCTAATAGAGCATAAGCGAAACCAAACTCAAATTTCATTATGTATTATCAATTCATTTATCCTAGGTAAGGAAAATATTTCATGATCTGAAAATTACCTAAAGATGATTAGATATTGAATTTTACCAATTCTCTTCTTTCAACAGTTCTTCACTTCTAATCACTTTCCCTGGCTTCCTTCAAAATTCAGCTAACCCAAGGCCTTTTTTGTTCCTCTATCTACTAGTGCCTTCTTCCCCTTTCAAATATGCTCTATCTATTCTATATTTATCTTGTATGGTTATTTTCATGTCTCCCCCTTTAGAATGTGAATTCTTTGAGGACATGGACTGTTTTTTACTTTCTTTGTAACACTAGTGTTTAGCATAGTTCCTGGTACATAGTAAGAGCTTAGTAAATGCTTGTTGGCTGACTTGCCCCAACTTCCTCTAAGAATTCAGGCTCTGTAACTCCTGGGTTACTTTCCCCCAGTTCATTCTAGGCTATTTTGTGTAATCAGTTATGAGAATCTCCCAACAAGGCAGCACATTCT